TGTCCAAAAACACAAAACACTGGGTCAAAGTTAAACCACACACTTATCACTCTATGTCATTTTAAAAGTGCTTTCTAAACACACTGAAAATTAATAAGGCACTTTGATGTTTTCACAGGACCAGATACATAAAGCTTAGTAAAAGCCTCCAAACCTTCAGCCAATTAGTACATGCATGGAATGCATCATTTATTCCACACCACATATATATTGAATCCCATGAGATTTCTCTCAAAAACACTCAGACACTTTAAATTAAAACATTGCTGAACCTTCTCTACAAACACAAAAAAAACCCTTTGCTTTGTTTTCTATACACCTGTTGCCATCTACTGGTGGAAAAGTAAATGTATTTATACTGAAAGAGGTAAAAACTTTACACTAATTGTTCATTCAAGTCCCTTACATAGACAAACATCAACATACATTAACTGGTACGTATGTTAAATAAAGGACTCTATCACTCCCTTTTGCTAACAGCGTTGCGATATACCCTGGGGCAAAAAATTTTTAGAACCTTAACACAACATAGTACCAAAGCAAACACTCTGTGTGTGTGTGAGTGAGTGTGTGTGTGTGTGTGTGTGTTTGTGTGTGTGTGTAGGAGGAGCACACACACACACACACAGAATAAGAAATGTCAGTAACACCATTTCAGCTTTTGATCAGCACCATGGACAGCAACTGCACACATTTATTTGAACTTAAGCTATAATCTCATATTAGCTGAGAACTGTTTGAGCTTGTATGTCTATAAGCATGGAAAAAGAGAGAGAGAACCCCAATAACCACGGGTCCTCACAAACTGAGTAGACAGGGCCACTGTACAAAACAAGAACATTCATTTATAGAATTAATTATTTATCAATCATTTCCAGTGGTCCAGCTTTTTCATGCACTCATATTACATATGATTACACATTTTAAACATAACTGATAATAAGGTTTAAGTCTTTTTAAAAGCACAAACTCCTCACCATCAGAACTTCGTCTTTCAGGCCTTTAGCTAATATCAAAAGTCCCGATGTTATTCTCTGCTCTCCTTCCCCATTTGCAGTGCTATAATTTTACTTTGCACAACATCATTTAAATGCCCCTATTGAAATACTCGATAAGACACTTGTTGAAAAATATATTGTTCTGTAGTTGACATCAACGAGTTTTCATGGATTTTCCATCTTCCCAGCATGTCTTCCCATCAAAACTTTTTAGTAAAGGCAGTGGAGTCTGAAATAACTGAGAAATATTTACAGCTAAAACTCAGTTCATTAAAAAATGTATACTGCATGAATAAAGTTGAGCTGTGAATCACTAGGTAGAATTATGACTCATATATACTTATATACGATTATTAAATAATAATCTTTCTGCCCTCAGCAACATAGCATATGTAAGCTGCACAGTTGGGAGGGTGTGTTTGACAACTGGGCTATTCCTACTTTCTATCAGTTGTGCACCACCCCGAGTACATTGTTGAAGCTTGTATTAATGATGGATTAAGCAAACCAGATCAAGCTTTTAGGAATCTGTGTAAAGGAATGGGCTCAGCCCACCCAAAAAAAATGCAGAAAGTAAATGGGTTTTTTTGTTTCTGTTCCACCACTTAACAAGCAGAGACGCACATGCTTTGTTATCTAACCGATGCTGCATGTAGCGACAGACTCTCAGGAGTGTGCTCTCTCATAATAAAAACAAAAGAAACTTTCAGTCGGGGAATGTTTAAAGTTTCATATTTATAACATCATGTCCCCTCAGGTTCCAGGTATTAAACACCTATTATACAGAAGTGGAAAAAAGAAAATAGCAGCATGGTCTTTTCTGGAAAAAAGAAAATAGCAGCATGGTCTATACAGCAACACTAATTTGTATGTGTACATGCCTATGAAATATGAACCAAATGAATTCTCATGCAGTTGCATAACAAATACAGTTTATGCATATAACGGTTTTATTGAATCCACCTGGACGCAAACTATAACTAGCGAGCCACTTTATGATGGAAAGCATGTGTGCACAGTCACAATGTTGGTAAGTGCTGTTTGTATCACAGTTTTAAAGGACCATGTGGTTTTTTCAAGTCACGTATATCCTGCTGCCACTAAACTTAAACAGTTTAAAAAGTGCAAAAAGTGCTGTATGTACTAGAATAGATAAGACCTATTGCACTTGTATTAGTTGTTATTCATTCTAATACACTGTTTTTCAGTTTTACTACAGTACCTATGCTGAAATTTGAAGCATTTATTTCATGTTCTTCAATTATTAGTTTAGCATCCTGTCTGGAATCAGGTTGGGATCTACCTCATCCTAGGTACTAATATCATTCAAGTTGGTAAATACTTGAATATGTTGGCCAACTAACTGTAACCTTTTCATGTTCCCATTTAGTGCTAAACAGGGAGTGAAGTGTGTTTAAACCTGTTTCTCCAATTGCTTCATATAATGGGAATTGACACTGAAAGGGAAGTGCAGATAGACACATTTCCATTTCTTTATTGTAATGTAATCCATTGTTAATATAAATATTTTTATATTTTTATAAGCATGCAGGGTGACCTGCAGGTCCGCATGCTAAGCATGCTTAGCATGCACGGGTGCATGCAAGGGTGACCTGCATGCAGGGTGACGGTGACCTGCATGCTAAGCATTAAGCATGAAAGAGGGAAAAAATGACATGGTACGAACAGCTTTGGTGGACAGAAAACTGTATTCGTGTTTAAGAGGGACTTTCCAGGGTAATCTCCCTGCATGTTTGGACGAGATACAGGTGCACTTGCAGGGTGGCTGTCAGTGTGATCCAGTGGGTTCGTCCATTTACTTTCAACAGGCCTTAGCATGCTAAGCATGCAGGGTGACCTGCAGGCGAGAAAATGAGGGCAAATCTGTTCTGAAAGTATTCTGGCTGTCAGTGTGATCCAGTGGGTTCGTCCATTTACTTTCAACAGGCCTTAGCATGCTAAGACCTGTTGAAAGTAAATGGACGAGCCCACTGGATCACACTGACAGCCAGAATACTTTCTCTGCAAGAACAGATTTGCCCTCATTTTCTCTCCCTTACACTTGGATAAAAACTGGGTATCCACATATCTTGTTGATAAATGGCAAGTAAATGCAAATTCTTAAAAGGCAAAGAATAAGAAAAACAAAGATGGCAAATAACTGAGTATTCATATGCTATTACAAGCATTTGATTTATTTTCTGACTTGTTTTGTACAAATGTTGTAATTAAAACAAGATTGAAAAGACATTTTCGAGAATCTCTTGCGCTCACTTGTCACCCACATTTTTGACTAAAAATAGATCTGCAGTGCAAACGTATCTAGGAGCACACGTGTGAATAACAAGTATGACATCACTGGGTCCAGGCAGCCCTCAGTCCCAGTCACAGCAACAGCAGTGAAGATGATGTCATTGTTTAACGATGAGCTCGTGCACACACACACAGCTAGAGGCAAAGAGGTGGGTGAGTGGAAACAAAATGGGCCAAAACGGCAACTCTTGTTCGAGTAATCACCCTTAAAATCTTTACTGGCAAAAAGCTTGCGTAAGTCTTTCATCAAGCCACCGGTTCAACAAGCTCCAACATGAAGAAAAACGAACGTTGTAAAAGCTCACATCCACCGTTTTTTGTTTTACACCGCGAAAATATGCAGTAAAGCTACAGCAGGTACATTAAACATATGCAGATAAGCTTCATCTGATGCGATGTTCAAATTAAGCGTCTCGGTGTCAGCAGCCGTCCTAATTTCAGTGACACCTTTAACAAGTAGGGGCGAGTCCAAAGGGATCCAAAGGGTGTAATACTAGATCATATTACATTTCAAAGCTTTAGTAACATTATTTTCCAGATTTTGATTCAAAACTGTCACCCTGTAATCGCAGTTGTACCAGTCAAAGGAGCTTGCAAAGAAAAGCGTCTGGACTTCTTTAAGTTGCTTGAAGACGTTTCACCTCTCATCCGAGAAGCTTCTTAAGTTCTAAGGTCAAATGGTGGGGAGTACCATATTTAAACCTAGTGGGAGTATCCCCCCACAGAGGGACAAAAGGATCCCCTGATGATCCTCTAATCGTCTGAGCCAAGGTGTGAAACTGGGTGTGGGTCCCAATCAGCCAGGGTTTCGGGTGAGCTCATTGTGAAACCTGACCCCACCTTATCATGCGAATTCCTGAGGTCAGATGGCCCAGGATGTGAGTGGGCGTTAAGGCCTCTGGGGAGGGAACTCAAAACTGGATTATAGATGGCAGACAGTTGGTGTCGTAAACCACCGCCTCTGTTCAAAGATGGTCGCTCACAGTGGACATAGATGGCTTCTTTCACTCCTCTTTCAAACCATCTGTCCTCTCTGTCCAAAATGTGAACATTGGCATCCTCGAAAGAGTGACCTTTATCCATTTGTGACAAACATGAGAAAGCAGTGTCAAGCTGCACAACCAACAGTAAACAGCACTAAAAAAACAAAACAGAACTTTATTTTATAAATGCAAAAGTTTTTCCCCTTATCCTACTTACAAAATATTCACTCTCCAATCTGGTACACCTCAGTGAATACACCCACATATAAGATATTAAAAACCATATGGAATATGTTTCTGCACATAGAACATAAATGTTGTTTCAAGCATGAAATTAAAAGTACTTGATAGTGTTGAATGACATTAAAATCATTTTTTCAGGGAAAAAAGTTCAGTTTTAAAATCATAGCAGCTCTAGCTGGTTTCAGAGAAAAGGTGGCAGTGGCAGATTATAATCTCACCACAATCTGTCAACACCTGAGAACACAGCTAACACAGTCTGCACTAAAATATGTTGCTGGCTGTTATGAACTTTAAACGAAATATACTTTACTATTTTCAAGCAGATTAACATTGAAATAGGCAAAAAAAAAGCACAAAAAAGCACAGAAACTAATAGAGAAAGGTCTGTCTGAATATATATATATATATATATATATATATATGCATACACTACCTATCTTAAAAAAAAAACATTAAACATAAAGTAGTGTAAAAACTGAAGTTTTATAGAGGATCAAATACAAAATCATCTCATAAAAGAATTAATGTAATTCTGTGTTTCTGAATTTGCTTTTCTACTTACACAGTCATTTTTCAAAACTCCGATACAGTAACAAGACCTGATAACTATCTGGGGAAAAATCCAAACAGACAGAGATAACTTGAGAAAAATGGCAGGAAATAAACATGCTGCTGTTATACTGTGCATTCCCAAATGCAGTGACTAGCTGTATTTCTGCAAGACCCTCAGTAAATTTCTTTGGTAGCCTCTTTAGAGTTGTTTGAGGAAGCAACATTGGCAAGTTGGAGGTTCTGCTGGACTGTCCCCTGTTTCTTGTCACGTGCTTCTCCCTCTGTGTGGAAACCAACCATCAACTGGTAAATCACTACGCCAAGAATGGAACCAAGGAATGGGGCAAAAATAGGGACCAGGAACCAGCAGTCTCTAGCCCTGCGGGCAGACAGGATCACACTTATTGCCAGATAAAAAGGGTTAACAAACAGAGAGCAGTGGAAGGGCAATGTGAAGGAAAAATGCATAAAATCTGTCTACTTACGTGAAAACAGCACCCCCCCACCCAGACATAGAGGTGAAAAGACGTGGTCCAAAGTCTCTGGCAGGATTGACTGCATAGCCAGAATTAAAGCCCATGGACAATCCAATGACAAGAACCACAAATCCCACAGTGAAGGCTTCCAGCCCTTGGGGGATAGGGTTGTTGTAAGGATCCACAATGGCCAGAACACAAACTATGAGCGCTGTTGTGCCAATAATCTGTGTTGAGGAGGGGTACAAGTAAGAAGGAATAATGGGATATATCATTTATTATTTCAGAGTTGAAATTATGTGTATGATACATGTTTGAGTTTCAAAAGAGCACCTGATCAAAGAAACCATTGACAAGTGTGAGATGCCTCGCAGGGTAAGTTGAAAATATGCCAGCCGTGTTGTTAATGCTAGTAAAATTAAAACTTCCAGGACGGAGCAACAGAGCATCTAGAGGGATACAAACAATGAAATGTACCATGGATTTTTTTTTTCTTAAAAAAAAACAAGATAATTCTGACTCACCACTGGAAGTCTTCACTTACCATAGTACATGCCAAAAATAATAGCGGAACCAAAAAAAGCACCAATTGTCTGAAAGAGGAAGTACATGGGAAACTTTCTCCAGCGCTCTCTTCCAAGCAGACACAAGGCAAAAGTTACTGCTGGGTTGAGATGGCCGCCTGCAAATGCAGATGTTGACATTATGTCAGTGTGTGCAGTCCATAATCACACAAAATTACAGCCTTGCCTAAAGTAAAGCCACACACACAAACACACACACGCACACCCATAGCTGATTATATCATACACTTCCATAAATCTGATTGATTACCTGACACTTGGCCACAGACCAAGATGCCTAACATGGCAGCAAAGCCAAAGGCAAAGTTGACAGTAAGGAACAAGCCATGGGAACCACCGCTCAACACCCGCTGGGCCACAGCACCACAGCCAAACATCTGAAGAAAGAGTAGAAAAGCAAGTTCAGCTGGATCCTAGTAAGTTACACAACAAAGTACACAACATTATGGTTGTTTCTGTTGTTGAAACAGTTGATATACTGATATATTGACAGTTATATAATCATAGGTTTGACAAGATCAAGTCAAGTCAAGTCAAGTCAACTTTATTTGTCAATTCTGCCACATGTACAGGACATACACAGAATAGAAATTGCGTTACTCTCAAACCCTAGTGATTAGAAAAATGCAAATAAAATAATTAAAAAGTAAAAATTTAAATAAATACAATACAATTTTACGTATAACAAAAAAAAAAAAAAGCTATGCAATATACAATATACAATATTCAAGTAAGAAGGCATAGTGGTGCAAAATAGGCAAATAGTGCAAATGGAGATTTAGTAGTATACGGTAAGAGATAAGAGATAGTGTAACAACAAAGTCTTATGAGGTAATGGCAGTCCAATGCTCCACAAAGTGACTGGAGCAGGCCAGTGAGTGCGTCAGAGAGTGAGTGTGTGTGTGTGTGTGTGTGACAGAGTTCAGTGAGACCGTGGTGGAGAAGAGGGGAGAGGGGGGCAGAATCGGGAGGGAGTTAAGCTTCCTGACAGCCTGATGGATGAAGCTGTCCTTCAGTCTGCTGGTCCTGGCCTGGAGACTCCGCAGTCTCCTCCCTGACGGCAGCAGCTTGAAGAAGCTTTGCATTGGGTGCGTGGGATCAGCCGCTATGCAAAGGGCTTTTTTAGTGAGACGGGTGCTGTAAATGTCCTGGAGGGAGGGGAGAGAGACACCAATGATCCTCTCTGCAGCTCTCACTATGCGTTGGAGGGTTCTATGGCAGGACGCATTGCAGGCTCCAAACCACACAGTGATGCAGCTCGACAGGATGCTCTCGATGGTGCCTCTGTAGAAAGTGTACATGATGGGGGCTGGAGCTCCTGCTCTTCTTAGTTTGCGGAGAAAGAAGAGACGCTGCTGTGATTTCTTGGCCAGTGCTGTGGTGTTGTACGTCCAGGAGAGATCCTCTGTGATGTGCACACCCAAGAACTTGGTGCTGCTCACTCTCTCCACAGACGCTCCGTTAATGGTCAGAGGAGCATGTTGGGTGTGCATTCTCCTGAAGTCCACAACAATCTCCTTCGTCTTCTCCACATTCAGAGAGAGATTGTTGTCAGCACACCACGTGGCCAGGCGTCTCACCTCACTTCTGTAGTCGGTCTCATCCCTGTTGCTAATGAGACCCACCACCGTTGTGTCGTCCGCAAACTTGATGAAGAGGTTGGAGCTGTGTGATGGAGTGCAGTCATGGGTCAGCAGAGTGAAGAGGAGGGGGCTCAGCACACATCCCTGCGGGGACCCCGTGTTTAAAATGATGGTGCTGGATGTATTACTGATTAGATCCCAGGAACCAAAGGCTTGCAGCCCCAAACCATGACAGAGCATGGACAGTATTTTACAGATGGCTGTAGACATCCACATCGGTGCCTACCTACGCTTCCACCCTTACACTTAGACCCTTTCTCATGTGCCGGCTACGGATTTTTAGGCCTGTCACTTATTTTGTCCTCTATTTAACATACACTGCCAGGGCTGTGCGATATGACCAAAATCTCATTTCCCGATATAAGAATTCTATCCCGATAATGATATAAATCACAAAAATGTAACATTTTCTGTAAATTCGGTGAATCTCGGGCAGCTCGTCTTGCGGGAAGTGTTTCCTGCTGCGTGTCATGTAGCTGGAGTCGAGTGTTTTAACCGATGCATGAAACTATACATTTTTAGACATAAGTTGTAAAGTCCGCCGTTTTCTTTGTGAGTATTTATTACACGGCGTGCTGCGGGGAAAAGCCTGTTCTAACGTTTGAGTCTAAGGTTTATTTTTTTTAGCACCTGGCGGCTCTTTTTTTAATTCTCATCCGTAAATAATCTGCTCTTTCACGTGATTCAGTTTATTTTGAAAAGTCTCAACAGGATCTTGAGCTTTATTGTGAAAGGTTTATGTGGAACATAAACAAGCGGACGCAATGCTGTTACCGTCGTTGTTGCTAACCACAACGCATAAAAACAGGCGCTTGTCCTTCCGTAGTGTGGTTATATAAAATATAAGAGAAACAGAGAACTTTAAGAAATTAATATAGCCACTACAGTGACCATAAAAACGATGAAAAAATATTGCCGTAAACAGTTTATTTTGCGACACCATGAAACAAACAATAGTGTAAAATGAAACGATAGACGTTTTTATATCGTCATCCAATATATATCGTTATATCAAACAGCCCTATACACTGCCCACATGCTCAGATATGACAAGATTTCAGCTCTTAGGGAATCACTTTATATGTGCAAAAATATTATTTATGCCTGTAAAATTGTGTTCGCAAATGTATTTCTGTGATATGATTCATTTTCATGATTGATTGACTTTTGCACAATACCAGTTTCAGCTACCCAATAATGTTATTACTGACGTGTATCCCCTGATGAATAACTGCACCACACCTTCTCCTGTGCCATCAGTAGTGACACTATGTACTGCTCAAACCCAGGCGCATTGAGATTTGGACTTCCATATTACTCCTGTTTATTAAATAATGTGTGATGCTCTAAATGGCTTTTACTTTGAAATGACATAAAAATAAATATTTTATTTCATAAATACCCAATCAGTAATACAAACACCATTCACTAAAGTTTGCATTATGTGATTTATTGCAAATTGCGCCGAATTTAACACTGAAATATGCCACGTCTAATGCCTGATATCTGAGGAGAATTTTTATAAACCTACAACTTCACCGACTCAAGCAGCCGAGGCCACTTTAAGCACTTGTCCAGGTGCATTATATGTAAACTGCCTTGAGCTCGTGTCAAGATGTTTTTACGCCGTGTCAGCCGACAGAAGCAAATAAAATGTTGGGACTTTCACTCCGGGCCTGATGTGGCTATGCCAATGACTGTTAAGACTTCACATAGCCACATCAGGCCGTTCATCTGGTCCTCATCCTGAATGAATAGAGAGAAGAGACCCACCTATTCCTGATAGTAAAAAACATTTATTTTGTTTTATCATTTATTAATGTTGATGTGTTGTTTACAATTTTACTTTGTTTATTGTATTTTTAAAAAAAGAATCTTAAATGAACTTAAAACCCCTGGAGAGTCTTGGGTCGATTTGTGGCTATTTTCAAATTTCGATTACACGCCATTTGCACAGTGTTGAATGGAATATAGCGAAAGTCTGCAAAAAAAAGTTCGGTCACATTTACTGTTAAAATTTCAGTATGACTTCCGGAAATTAGCTTCAGTGGCTAAGCTAGCGATAAACTTACGCTATTGGTCCTAGTGGTCGATTTGTGCCCCATTGAAACCCATTATAAACGCTATTTTTCACGGCAAAAAAATTACGGTCAAATCGATCGTGATCGGTTATGTTTCCGCTTCCGCTTGCAGTACTGGCCTTAGAGTTGTAATTTTTTTATTTGTCCACCGGGTGGCGCCCTTGCTCCACATGTGACGCCTGCTGGAACATACACATGTTCTCCAGCGGCCTGCTCGAGACAGATACCCAGAAAAGGCAGACTAATTTCCCGCGTACAGCAGCAGCTTGGCCCGCTGCTCGTTCCGGACCATTGTCTGACCTTAGGATCATTTGAGGGTGCATTAATTTTTTTTAATCAACAGGAAATGACGTATTTGTTTTCACGTGGTAGCGGAAGTGTGTGCTGCAGACACGGGAACCGAACCATATGCTCCGGCGCTGCGCGAAACACACCCGCGGCAGAGGCACTCCTCCCCGGGGGAGCAGGAGCAGCAGCGCCGCCTGGGGACATTTTTGGCTTCTGGAAAAAAAATTAAAACTGGATCGAAATTAATGTTGGTGCCAATATTTTGTCCATCTAAAGGCCTAATTATAATAACAATAAAATATTACTTCAAATGTTTTTTTTGGAAAATATTTTATGTTTTATGTTTTATGTTTTTGGGGCAAAAAAAGCAGTGCGCTCATGTGACGAAACCGGGATATAAAGGGTTAAAATCCGCGAAATGTAATTAAAACTTGACATGAATATTTCAAGGAGAAGTAGGTCTAAAAGATTGGCTAATTTAAAGTGGAATAAAATATTAATATATAAATTTTTTATAGCACTTTTTGGGCGTGGTCGATAGTGTGCATTTTATGAAATGCGCTCCTGGAAAAAAAATAAAAGGCGATCGAAATGACTCTTGGTGCCAATCTTTAGTCCATCTAAAGGCCTAATTATAATAACAATTGAATATTACCTCAAATGTTTTTTTTGGAAAATATTCAAGTTTTTTGTTTTTTGGGGCAAAAAAAGCAGTGCGCTCATGTGACGAAACCGGGATATAAAGGGTTAAAATCCGCGAAATGTAATTAAAACTTGACATGAATATTTCAAGGAGAAGTAGGTCTAAAAGATTGGCTAATTTAAAGTGGAAAAAAATATTAATATATAAATTTTTTATAGCACTTTTTTGGGCGTGGTCGATTTGTGGCTCTAAGACCGATAGTGTATGCATTTTTCTAAGACCCTCCAAGAGCCAGAAAGAGCAGAGAGCCAGCCAGTTTCCTTTTTACAGTGAGTTGATGAGATTGCAGTGTTTCATTTTTTTAGTCATATTTCTAATTAGAGATCGGATTATCATGGAAAAACTAAGAAATCCTGCAGCATCGTCATGCGGGGAAAAAACTGTAGCCCGAACTTGGCACAGTAATTTATAAGAATGTGGTAAGGATCTGACTGTTAAAGACCATTTGCATTCTCCTGTCCAGCTAATCAGTTGATACACACAGATGTCAGCCTTTAAAAAACAAAACAAAAAAAAAGCAGTCCCTCTCTGGATAAATACCGTGTCTCACCTGCCTCTAACCAAGTCTAACCAGGTCCTATCAGTCCTATCCTATCTCAGTTCTCTGTTAGTTACCTTTGAAACATGAGTAAAAACTGTGCTTCCATGTATTAATTTATTAATTACTCAGTGAATTGTTAGTGCATGTTTACTCTCTCACGCAGAACTACACACACACACACACACACTTACTACAAGGATGAGCGTGCCAAGACACTCTGCTAAGGCTTGACGAAGCAGCAGGTTGCGGATCTGGAAGAAGCGGGACAGTTTACCCAGATACTCCTTTTGTCTGCCCATGTCTTCTTGTCACAGGTTGATGACTTTGAGAAATGACACAGAAACGCACACACAGCTTGTAGGGTCTCCTGAGTGCCTGTGAAGCTGAGGCGAGCTCTTAATACATACATAGACCTGGGCTGGGACAGAGGCAATCCTGAACTTGTACCCACCCTCTGTACCACGCCCCACTGTGTGTCTTGATTCACAGTCCTTCACCTTTTTTCTTACAGAGGCACTTTCTCTTCAACTTTCATGCATATATACACCAATGGACATAAACACAGTTCTTTGCTATAATTTGCCTCTTTTGTAGATGGTGCCAAATTAGAGCAGGATCATTTATATCATGAGGTAATGACTTTCTTTCCTACTTTACAAATGATATCCAAGAAAGTTGATTCCATTTATCTGCACATGGTGCACACTTCTTCAATTTCAGTGGAGTGCAGGTTTCTCCTGAAGTCACTTAAGATTGACCTCATGGCCAGTTGTTAGTCAATAGTGCTAGTTTCGGTGCTTGTGCAATTGTGCTGTTTACAAGGCTGGGAAAAGATGCAGTCAGCTGAGACTGAAGAATTCAGTTCAATGAATGATGAAACGTTTCTCCCACGGAAAACGCCACATGCAGATGAACGGAATCAACTTTCTGGGATTTTTCTTACCCAGTGATTAAGCACACGTCAAGACATTTCGAATAATATTTAATCCTCAACATATTTCCCTCATCAATAAAAAAATTGTTTAGCAAAACATAACTTAGTTGTATCTTCTAACTTAACCATAGTTTAGCTGCCAGCTCAACAGCTAAGAACTTACCAATCATGCTTCTTCTCTGACCTTCCAAAAGTGTCATAGGTTTTTCAGCTGATTATAAACAACTGTTGGTCAGTTTCCCTGTGCAAATGCTCATTGGTCACTTTACTAGAGATGTCTTTGCAACTGTTCTTTAATGTAAATAATCACACAATCGCAACTCAGTGTATTTAGACATGTAGACATGTTGAAGATGATCTGCCGAAGTTCAAACAAAGCATCAAAATAAGGAAGAAACACATTATTTAAGTGACTTTTAATCTGGTATGGTAATTCATGGCATGTCGGCCGGTCTTGAGATTTCCAACAGAACGATCACCAGGGTTTACACAGAATGGTCTGGAAAAGGAAAGTTGGCCAGCAAGTGTCAGTTCACTGGGTGAAAATGTCCCATTGATCCCAGAGGTTAGAGGAGACTAACAATCTGTTTTGAACTAATAGGAAAGAAAAATAACTCAAATTTTCACCCATCACAACCAGAATATGCAAAACAGCATCTGTGAATGCACAAGAAACTTTAAAGTAGATGAGCTACAGCTGCAGAGGACCACACCTGCCAGCTAAAAACAGGAAACTGAAGCTATAATTCATATGAGCTCATTAAAACTGGGCAAGAGAGGATTAGATAGTTTTACAAGAAAATTCAGATCTATCTCACTTGTCTCAATATTCGCAAGCAACATAGATCCTCAGACAAGTTGCCTCTCCATCTATTTTCTGTGTATTCATCTTAACAAACCAATCTCCATTTTTTTTAAACGAGCATAGCCTAAACTGTATAGACTTCAAATACTGGATCTTAAAATATCCATTTAGATAAATGGTCATGTTTTCATATTTTGGATTTGTAAGAGCATGCACACATATCTGTAATTCACACCTATTTACAACCAGTACCAGATCATTCTCTTTCTGTCTGTCACCTTATTTTGTCTGGCATATTCTTTTGTTCATTCATCATACCTCATTTGTCTGGCTTAAGTGGAGGTGTGAGATTATTTCCACTTAAGACCACAACTATACCGGTATTAGCATGGATCCGTGTATAGTAGTATAGTATGTATTCAACTGAGGACTGCTAGGCAAATGTGCATAGGTATACGGGTACTTATTGCACAGAAAAGTTACACATTTAAAATCTCACAATCATGTCAACATCCTAAAAACATTTTGAAAAAGCACTTTTTAGCATGAGTCTGAGTCATTCCAGTTAGGCATCAAATCATAGATGCTGCACAATAGTATTGCACAACATTTAATAATGAACTGTCATGCCACAACCTTTGTGGTGCAATCAAGAGCAGCTTTTAGTTTTACAGGTTTGTTGGGTCTTCCACGAAAGTGTAACGGCATTTTGGTGTAGTGGAAATGCCGCGCAACTGGGTCTAAATTTATATGAAAGTAATAACAGTTTAGTGACAAAATGTAATTGTCACGGAGGAGCAGGGAGGACTCGGCGCAGACTGAAGTCTCAGAAAAACAGGTTTATTTACACACTCCAGGTGCACTATATACAGGTGAAGGAGAAGGGGGCCAGGGTTCCCAGGGGTGCAGAGCGGGGTCGGGAAAAGCGTCCAGAGTCTCCAAACCAAAACACGAGAAATCTGCATACAGAGAACAAGGGTTAGCACGGAACTTTTACGGACAGAGCTCAAAACTGGCTGAGGCTAAAGTAGCACTGACGAGCGTTATTCAATAGTCCAGCGGCGAGGTGCTCTCAGTCACTGCCTTAAGTAGCGGGAGCAAACAGGGTGAGGAGCCACAGGTGATTGCCTACAGGTGGTGGAGACCGGGAGCTCACAATGAGCTCCGCCCAGGCAGCGAGCAGAGAGAGAGGAGAGAGAGAAAAGACAAAACATAACATGTAGCCACACAGGGCCAGCCGAGCAGGCACGGGGACCGTGACAGTAATTAGTTACTAGTGCAGATAAGATTTCTGGTTCCTCTGAAATTGACACAAATGGTGCTATCAAGTGCTAGTGCACAGATTTCAATAAAAGGATGGGGAACGGGGTTGTCTGGCACCACTGTCTACTATACCCATTTTCTAGTGTTTAGTGGATGGTTGGTTAGATGTCAGTGGCCACTGACAGTCATAAGCAGGCACAGGCATTATTGTTCAAGACCTTTATAAAAGCTCCTTTTCTGTAAATTTAGAAAAAGGCACAAGATAAACTATTCGCAGAAAGAATTACACGTACAGATTATATCTTGTATAAAGTTAGATGTAGGCTTTAAAAAAGCATAACTTACTGTTGGTTAGTTTTTGGCTTAGTTTTTTTACTTTGAAATCTTTTCACTTCAATTTCCCAGCTCAAACCCTACTTAGAAGGCCGTTTTGGAGCCGTATGGTTTTAAACAACTTTTCTTGGAAGAGCTTAGTTCAGAAACAAGACAGTAAAACATGAGCTAACTTGCTGAAATGAGAAGTTTTTACACTGAAATCAGTAGTGGGTGGATTAGTAGAAAAGGCACAAAAAGAACTTCCAGATTTTTAAATTCTACACATTTCTCTGAATAGAACAGATTAATGTTAAAAAGAATTAATGTGTACGTAAGAATTCTGTGTACTTACGTTAATTATGGTTGTTCAAGCTGCCAGATTTGGGGTTTTTTTCAAGAAGCATGATGATTGATGTTAATGTTCTTGGTTTATTTAGTCCAGCTATTAATCTGACATCAACTGGTTATGTATAGCTAATAGTTTTTTACAATGCTAAGTGTATTTGATTACCATGTGTTCGACAATTATGTTATGCTAAAATAAAGTGTGTTTACTTAGTCAACCCAGAGCTGTAGTGGTTTGATAAATAAATCATAATTTTTCAACTTTAATCTCACTATATGCTCTTTACATGAGCCAGCAGTCTAGAATGTATCTCTTGCAAAATGTCAGAACAAAATGCCCTTTAAAATTTTGATGGGACTTTAATACAAGCAGTGGGATCAAACATCTTGTAACATCTCATATGTACGTTATGGCAAGAGGGAAATGCAAAAAGAATATTACAGCATGTATGCCTTGAGCAAAAATAAAGTCTGGCTAACCCACTATTTAAAGTGTTAATCTGTACCATACAATTATGCATATAATAAAAGAAACAGAGAGAGAGAGAGAAAGAGACATGAGCAAAGAAGACAAACACAGGTAAGTATTCCTACATGTCACAACATGCAATAATTGAAAAAGCTTTTCCTGGAAATAACACTGTCTTCCAGCTGCAGTTCTTGGAATAACTCTTAAAGAATAGCTCAAATGGGTTGCAGGGTAGGCCCAAAGACTACATTAGTCTAAATCACATAGCTGTTTAAAGTTCAGAGTTCAGTATTCCAACACCAATCCTTGGGAATTTGATTGGCATCTCAGGGTTTGAGAAGACATGTTCTAAGGTCATTAATCCTTTAGTCCATGAGAGTGTCATTTGCAGCCTTGGGGACATATATTCAACCTCTGAAAAAGTGTTTCTCAAAAGAGCCATTGTTGCTTTTGATGATATAGAATATTAACAGTAACGAGGGGCCCAAAGTTGAAAAGCCAGACTTGTTCTTACCTTTACAATATTATAATGTATAAATGAGACACCACAGTGACAAACAAAGTATCATAAAATCACCCCAAAAACACAACAGGGTGGGGATCGATTTAACCATGGCCAGTAACAAAAAAGCAACGTTTTACTCTCTACTGTCCACAGACATTTACAGGTGTTGCTATGTAAAAGGAAAACAAAACAAGTGCACTTAAAAGGCTCAAAAAAGGGAGTATCTTATGAACACATGTTATAACTTGACAATTGCTCAGTCTGAGAGTCTGCTTCTAGGAATTCTCTTCTTATGCGTTTCTAAGAACCAAGTCTCTTTCTTTGACAGGGTGTTGGCTCCAGCTCCGTGACAGTTTTCGGAATGGGTTGGTTAAATCAAAAGCGTACTTAGATACAAACAGCACAGCAGCTGATGGTGCAAAGTAATCCAAATTTTGCAACTGTCTAGCCTTGAATGCTAATGTCTTCATGGCTATGATTAGCATCTTTGGTTTTGATAACACACATTCCCACAGTTTCTATAACAGATGCTTGACTAAAGATTGTCTGTGGCCAAATGAGATTCAACAGAACACTTGCAATGCTCATAGAGCATTCCACCAAATGTTAGTTTAGTTTTTTAATAATGTAGATCTCCTGAGAAATAAAAACTTCTATTTATGAAGCAGGAATTAAGACAAACCACCACCCTGCCATGTACCTTTTCCTCCACAGAAAAATCTACAAAAACCATAAAAAATATAAAAGTAAAA